CTTGTTTTTGTAAATAAAGCTTTACTGGAACACAGCCATGGGCTTTTGTTTACATACGGTCTACGGATGCACAGAATTGTGTGTAGTTGCAACACAGACTGTATGACCCAGAAAGTCCAAACTATTTACTAACGGGCCCTTTACAAAGCTCGCTAATCTCTGTTCTATATAAAAGAGCTACGTTTCCGGTCATCCACAGAGAAACCACTTCCTGTGTTCTAATCTGCAAGGAGGACCACCCGCTTATGCTCAACTGCAGGCAGTGCTCTCTTACCCCCCGTGGTTTTATGCCCCTCTCTCCCCCGCCATGGCCCCCTTCCTTCTTTCTCTTCTAACATCTCTGCCTCTGAAATTCTGGCACTCCTTTAAGCTCCATTTTAAATGTCACCTACTCCAGGAAGTCCTCCCTCTTTAAAGGTGAGGATGATCTTCCCATTTCAGGGGCAATAGCATGTGACTCCTGTATTCCTTGTTTTAGAAATTATTATTTAAATTCTTACCTTACCTTCTCCAATAACCCTCAAAAGAACTCAAGTCCATCAGGAAGTGGGACATACCTTTTACATTTTGACATTATCTTAACATAAATGCACTTTTTTGCACACAGGAGGTATTGATAATAATTTGGGGCCTGCATCACGTAACTCTTGGTTACCATCCACCAAAACAGGTGACGACCGTGACTTCTTAGCAGCGGTCTGAGAAAGTCTTAGGAATGAAGTGAGGTTTAAAGACATTTACAACAGGTCCGCCCCATTATCTCTCACAGTGAGGTGGGCAGGTTTGTGATGTGTGGGGAGAGAATTCAACTGAGAAGAGAAGACAAAACTTACAACGTAAAGGACTCATTCCATTGGGGGTTTAGTGTGGAGCGGATGGTTCTGGTTTTCTGTTTGCTTTCATTCTTTGGATCAGGAATAAGTTTCAGCTTCACATAAGGATCTGAAAGCCCATTTGGATCCATAGGAATTAGATTTTTTGCATCTCGTACTGTGAAGAGAAAAGGAAAGATCAGATGTTATAAAAAGAAAACTGACCTGTATTGCCCAGTGTCCTGTGTCAAGACCCAGCTGAATGACAGAGACGCCAAGATGGTGTTGAAAGGGAGAGGAGGTGAGGACCAAAAGCCTCTGATCTTTGATATGAGAAAAGCCGTCTGCTGTCATTGGTGCCAGAGACAATGGGCATCATGCGGGCCCTGTGGTCAAGCCTTGGGACGGCAGCGTCGGCCTGGACGCCTCATATGAGAAATGCAGAAGCCTGGGTCCCTCCCCAAAGCTGCTGCAACAGACTGTGTATTTAAACAAGATCCCCAGGTACTGTTTGCAGCCCTTCTCCAGAACTGGTCCTGCCCCCCATCCTGCCCCCCAAGCAACCAGCTAACCCAGGCCATGGTATTGCATCACTTGAGCTCCCGAAAGGATTCATTTCTTTTCTTTGTAAAGGCCAGCGACTTCCAATCTGGCTGTACATTGGAATCTCTTGGGAGGGGGTTTAAAAATCCCAGTGCTGGGATGCCTGGGTGGCTCATTTGGTTGGGCTCATTGGTTGGATCCCAGGGTCCTGGGATCAAGTCCCGCATAGGGCTCCTTGCTCAGCGGGGAGCCTGTTTCTCCCTCCCCCTGCTTGTGTGTGCTCTCTCTCTCTCGGACAAATAAATAAATAAAATCTTAAAAAAAAAAAAAATCCTAGTGCTCATGGGGCACCCAGGTGGCGCAGTCCATTAAGCATCTGACTCTTGGTTTTGGCTCAGGTGGTGAACTCAGGGTCATGAGATCGAGCCCTGCATTGGGATCTGCACTCGGTGGGGAGTCTGCTTGTGACTCTCTCTTCCTCTCCCTCTGCCCCTCCCCCTGCTATCCCTCTCTCAAATAAATAAATCTAAAAAAAAAAATGTCCAGCGCTCACAACTAAATTAGAATCTCTGAGGGGTGTGGCCCATGTTCTTAAGCGCTCCCCAGGTGATCCTATGTGCAGCAGAAGAGCCAACCGTGCGTACGGCTGTAACACAGAATATGCTCCACAGCTGTGCTATGTCTTGTTCTGCAACGTGCACACATGTCCCCAGACCCGTAGCACCCGGGACATCAGCTGTGCACTCACCACATGTGTGGAATCACAGGCCCCGCCCCCAAATTACAAACTCAGGATTCTCACTTTAGCCAGACCCCCAGATGGTTCCAGCGCACACCCTAGATTGAGATGCACTCATATGGGAATCCAAAATAATGAGGAGGAAAGGCCGCTTCATCCACAGAGGGACGCATGCTCAGAGATGCAGCTAGCAGGGGCTTGTTACCTCTGTGGGAATGGGTAAAGCCACTGCATGGAAATGAGATAGGTCATTATCTAGCACTATGATAAGAAAGGACCGAAGCCTGAGCCTGCCTATCCCAAATGTCTTCCTCACCATCTTTGGATGGCACCTTCCCCAACATGGCTGATACTTCCCATCATCAGGGTCCCTAATTAGCCAGATGCCATGAGTACACACCTAACTCGTTCTCCCAGCATAGCCCCTGGACCAGCAGCGTTGGCATTACTGAGTCAGAACCCTAGGGGTCGGTGCAGTGGTCTGTGTTTACCAAACCTCCTGGTTCTGATGGACGGGGGAGCTGGGGAAACACTCTTCTAGCCTATCAGTACAGATCATCAGTTGAGGGTGACTGTTAAATGAAGTCCTTAGAAGAAGGTGCTGGGGTTGGCAGTGGGCAGAGATAGAGGAGGGGATAGAAGGATGTTAAAGATACTGGGTCCCTGGACATTGCCCTAAGTCACAGACCAGCACTGCCCGTTATCAGCCTGGGGACACATGGAGTGCCCGTGCCTGCTGGTGAATGGCCTTACACCCTCCTTGTCTGGAAGCCTTAGCACAGGCAGGTGACGGGACCGTGTCCAAATGGTCTGAGTGGGGAGTGGGCTGGTTCACATCTACTAGCCACGGAGAAGCCAGGCTTCTGTTCCTCTTATTCACTTATGCTTTCCAAGGATTTTTATCCGCATAATATCTAACCTCATCCAACTGGGAGTGGGTAGAACATAAGCAAGCTCAGCACACCTGCTTTCAAATCCTGCCCCCCTCATGTACTCCCAAGCACTGGGAAACATAAGTTCCCGAGCCTCTGTTTCTTCCCTTAGGAAAGCAAAGGGGGGCTCATTCCAAGTGAGACAGGATTGTTGGGGGAAGTAAATTGTACATAACTGTACATAACTTTATGTGCTTTAGACAGTTAGTGGCTTGGAAAATGGAGGGGAAAAAGGATGCCACGATGTGAGTGCTTACTCTGCAGAGTCTCCCACTGCCCACAAGGGATTAGGAGGTCTCCAGGGGACCTGGATGCCTGAAAATTCCCTCAAGCTCATGCTGAAGGTTTTTCAGTGCAATGCAGAAGACCCAGTCTCCTAAAACAGCAACCCAAGTATCACAAAAGATGAAAAGTTTGAGCATAAAAATAGAGGTCTCCCACGAGGAACGGGAAGGGGCCAAAGGTCTCTTTCCAATTAAGCACTGGAATGAGAATCAGAGACTTTGTAAAAGGCAGCTAAAGCCTGGAATGTCTACCACGGAGGCTACAGCCCAGATAAACTAATGAGGAAGCAGAGAGGCCGTCGAGAGTGTTGCCAATTACAGAATGATTATGGGTGCTGGCTTTTTCATCTTCAGTTTCTGGTCCTGACAGCCAGCACACACAACATCATTTAAGGCTGATCTCTTCTGAATGGTGATGAGTTACAGTTTTGATGGGATTTAAAGCTGTGGGCTTCCTACGGAGATACCATGACTGAAGTGGAAAATAAAAAGAGATATCAATTCCAAATGTCATTGAAGTAGACAGTGGGTCCAAATTTCAATTTCCCATTGCAGTGGAGAACAGCACGCGAGTCAGACCTGGGAGCAACGGACTTGGGGGCTCCCATCAGCTCAGATCGTGGGCTCTGGGGCCAGGCTGTGGGCACATGAATTCTGGCTCTGCCACTCTGTGGTGCCATAGCCCCAGGCAAGATCCATAACCACCCGGTGCCTCAGTTTCTGCATCTGCAAAATGGTAACTCCCTGGGAGGATCCTATAAGTTCATACACATAAAGTGCTGAGACCAGTGGTAGGCACACAGTGAAAGCCCAATAATGATTATTATCATTGTTGTTAATACACGTTGCTGGCAGAGAGCACAACCTGAAGGCTTAGTTGTTCAGAAACTGGACTGACAGCTTATGAGTTGGCAAGCGAATGCCCTGAAGAACAACAGTACGATGCGGAAATTTTCTAACGTGGTTGCAACTGCGTGGTGCCGGCAATGTCTTGACCTGAGCAGCAGTGGGGCGTCGCTAACAGGAGTAGGTGCGGGGAAGTTAGGGAAGAGAAAAGAAGGGCAAAACAAGTGGGGTGGTGGATGAGGAGGGCGAGAGGCAGGAGAGAGAAGAGAATGCAATCAGGACGTAGGGTCAGAGGGCAGTGAGGATGCAGCCCCTGCATGGGTCGGGGGGTGATGGTGGCTGGGTACACGAGGGCAGCGGATCTCCAGCTCAGCTGCGCATGAGCAGCAGATACCGACGTCTGGGCCCCACCCCCATGGGGTCCGATTTAATCGGTCCAGGCTGAGGCCCAGGTGTCAGCATCTTTGAAGTCTCTCAGGTGTGTATGACATGACGTCATCCCATGCACCTGGCTGTCATTCTCAAAGTGTGGTCCCTCGACCCATGTCACAGGCATCTCTTGAGGACTCAGTACATTATTCACATAAAAAAAAATTCATTCACTTTTTAACAGTTTAAAAATTTATTTGACAGACAGAGAGGAGGGGCAGAGGGAGAGGGAGAGAGTCCCAAGCAGGTCCTGCAGCCAGCGCAGAGCCCGATGCAAGGCTTGGTCCCACCACCCTGAGATCATGACCTGAGCCAAAATCAAGAGTCAGATGCTCAACTGACTGAGCCACCCAGGTGCCCCTTAACACTCAACATTTAAAAAGGAAACGTATAGGGCGCGTGGGTGGCTCAGTCGGTTAAGTGTCTGCCTTCGGCTCAGGTCATGATCTCAGGGTCCTGGGATCAAGTCCCACATCGGGCTCCCTGCTCTGCGGGGAGCCTGCTTCTCCCTCTCCCTCTGTGTGCTCTCTCTCTCTCTCTCAAATAAATAAATCTTTAAAAAAAAAGAGTTCTTTAAAAAAATAAAAATAAATAGAAAGGAAATGTGTCACTCTGGTAAATGGAAAACCAAGATCGTCTGCTCTAAGGAGAAAGGAACCATAAAGATAAATACAATGAACATCTCTGTTAGGGTTCCTTCCTTCCAGCTGACACACTTGCCTGAGGCCTGCTCTTCACTACAAAGGGGAAATTAAAGCAGGGTTGAGTGTTCAGGATATATTCCAGCCCCCCAGGCCGGGGGGGAGGTCCCTCTCTCCACCTTACAACCGAGAATGAAGGAAAACTGGGAAGGGAATAACTTTCTCACCACGTAATTTAATGCTTTCTAATGTCAGTTGTTCGGGACCTTCAGGAATCCTCTGGAGCAGGAACGGAAGTCCTCGCCTGTCTGTGTCGGGTCCCACCCCACATGTGGGAAGCCTGTGCCAATTCGGAGGCCCAGAGGAAGGCGAGCATTTCACGGTGGGTCCGAGAACAGATCTGGCATGGGTCCCACGGCTCATTCCTTGTCTCTCATCTTCTGCAAGAGCCACACTGTTCTGGCCCCCGGGCTTAAGATAGGGAAAAGCTCTGCTGTGTAACCCCTTGAGGATGGGACTCTCTTGGGGTAAAGCCCTCTCACGCCAGCTCGAGTTCCGAGAGGCCGAGGGTCTCTAAACACACGAGCAGCAGCTCATCCCCTGCCCCCTGCACTGCTCAGCACTAACCCCACACGGGCCCTGAGCCCCGTGGCAGGCAGGTGGGGGAGCGCTCCCCCCAACCCCGGCATGTCACAGAGGTTCCGCAGCGTCCGTGAGGAGGACACGTCTGCTCAAGAAATAGGTCCGCGCCGTGGTAGTGGCCG